ACTCAAGGACATTCAGAGACTTAGGGTCTGAATACGTATGTAAATGCAAAGCTGTCATCAAGGCAAAGGGTGGCTACTAAAATTTCTTTAACACTTTTTTATTTGTTTACTACATGATTACATATGTGTTATTTCATAGTTTTGATGTCTTCACTATTATTCTACAATGTAGAAAATAGTAAAAATAAAGAAAAACCCTTGAATGAATGTGTCCAAACTTTTGACTGGTACTGTATGTGTAATTGTTGTAATGATTGGGCTTCACTCTACCATTGTACAGATGTGTTTGCTTCATGCTTGCACCATAATATATAGTGAAACTGCTTGTTTCTGACCCATATTAGCGGCACAAGTGTTTTTTTGGGGGAAGGGGGGGGGGTTACATTCATAAACCATGTCACGGGCCGTTCTAAAACTACTTGTGGGCCGCATTTGTTTTACAACTTGTTCAGTCATGTTTGTTACCTCGCTAGCTAGCTAACAACCTGGTAACTACCAGTGTATCCAAACAGTTGGGGTCACAGAAAGAAAGGAAAAGGGATATCTTCTTCAGGAGATCAGTGAATGAATAACATGTATTTCATGTAGTCATCACAAACTTGATGCTGTTAAAGAGACACTGTACAATCTTTAATGCAATCCTTCTCAATAGGAAAATAGTGCTTTTACATAATGTAGAAACCTGATATTCAACCAATATCTTTTTAATTTCAATTACTGGTATTTGTATTAAACATTTTGTATTTACAGGCATGCATGTTAGTTTCTAGGGCACAACGTGCTTCAGAAGTAGCTAGAATTATATAGGCTGTATCTCAATCGATTAAAGAAAATCGTATTTTCTGTTGCTACTACATTTTGTTGTGCACTTAACTTTTTAATGTTAGGTGCACCAGTGCTACCAATGAAACATGTTAATTTAGAGCCCTGATGGCAGGTTTTTTCCCCAGTGCCAATTAAGACAACTGATGGTATAGCCTATGATTCAAAAAGTAAGCGATTTCATCTAACATATCCAGGTAAATCATGATTTGATATTTTATTGTGCAACCTGTCAAAATAGTATCCAGAATTATCAGATTTATTTTTGGCTCTTCAGAGATCAATTTGCGAACATCTTTGTACATCGGCTTATTGGCCCAGCCCTATGCTATATCAGGGCTCCAGACTGCAACCATTTAGTCACATTTTGCGACCCTTTGACTTGGCTGTGCAAGTTAAAAAATGTCTGGTCGCATTGGTGCGAGCTGCACATTCTACAGGTCACCTCACTCAAAACATCCTAATTTTTAGAAGGCTAAAACCATGATTTGTTCAAACGGTAAAGTACATTATCCTCATTTTACATTTACATTTTAGTCATTTAGCAGACGCTCTTATCCAGAGCGACTTACAGTTAGTGAATACATATATATTTTTTTTATACTGGCCCCCCGTGGGAATCGAACCCACAACCCTGGCGTTGCAAACGCCATGCTCTATCAACTGAGCTACATCCCTGCCGGCCATTCCCTCCCCTACCCTGGATGACGCTGGGCCAATTGTACGCCGCCCATGAGACTCCCGGTCGCGGCCGGCTGCGACAGAGCCTGGATTCGAACCAGGATCTCTAGTGGCACAGTTAGCACTGCGATGCAGTGCTTTAGACCACTGCGCCACTCAGGAGACATGTAATGAAAGTGTCTGCCTGCACCTGTACCTGTTTCTCTGGGGCCTGCTGCTGTGTCGAGCGAGCCTCTCCCTCTCCTTTCCCGGGGAAAAACAATGCTCCGGGGAGAAAAAAAGTGTTCTGATTTGTATAACGTTTTTAAAATCAAATTGACATAGTTGAAGAGTGGAGGATCTCTGTTTTCTGTAGGTATAATTTATTTCTAAATTTTGAACTCAATAGCTACTATTTTACAACCAATATATTTGATATGGCTTTGAGACAGGCGAAATGCGCTTTGGTGATTGCATAGGCCTCATTGGGCGGTAGGCTACAACTGCAACGTTTTTTGGGACATTACATTTGCTGTTAGTTTAATACATGGCTACTAGCAGTGAGTATTAGAGTTTGCACTTTAGCTAATGTGTTTTGAGTTTCCACTTACTCAGGTGGTGAATTAGCCTGCAATAAATTGGCCTATGATATTTGTACACATAAAGATGCTCTATTGAAAAAATATTAATAAATCAGACCATTCTGGAGCTCTATTTTAACAGTAAAATATAACAAATAGCCTAATTGTCAGCCCAAATGCCTGATGAAACAACATATTTATTGAATACCATCTCGGTAGTGTATTACACGTTTTAATAAAGCACTCTGAATGACTTTATAAGATGATACAAATTCTCTTCTGTGGCGCTGTAAAAATAAATAAATAAATTGGTGCCACCAAATGGAAAAATGGGAAATGTTAGTCTGGAGCCCTGTAATATTATTCATCACCTGAGGAAGTGGGAACTAAACATTTAGCTAGATTTGTTACCTCTAAATATGGTCTTGTTGCTCAATAGCCATGTAGGCTAATAGATTAATCAATCAGTAAATGTAATGTCCTACAAAACGGTGCTAGGCCTAGGCTACTTGCCTACTTGATGTTGGCCTAATCGGTGAAAATGGCACGCTCTGCTCGGCGCTGCTCCGTGGGCGCATCAACACCATACTGCATAGCATACTGCGGTTGTAAAGTGGGACCATGAATTCAATATTGAGAGGTGAGAAATAAAAGCTGTGACTCTCCTCTCAGTAACTAGAAGAAGATTAGTTGTTTGGAAACTATTTTTCCCTCAATTGCGTTTTTTGAGCAACGGTCATATGCTTTTGCTTATCTGAATGCATCTCTCCCTCCTCCATTCACACAGTGGGAAGATGGAGTGAGTGGCTCGCTCACACAGCAGCCGACAGCGAAACCGGGACGGGCAGATACTTTCATAGTAGGAATCAACATGATTCATAGGATATTATTGCTGTTGACCAAATAATGGTTTTAGAAAAGAACTGTTCTTGTAGTCCCACCCTGTTTCAGTAAATGTTCTTCAATTTGGTGCCTGATGAATACAACCCAGATTTAACCTTAACAAGGTAGTAGCAGCCAGAAATATATATTCTATTACATGAAACCCTCTGACACTTACTTTATTTTCTCTCCCTAGCCGGCGTGTCGGAGAAAGAATGCATGCACCACATGGTCAATAAGACAAAGGGCATCATCACCCTGTACCGCCACCAGAGGGCAGCATTTGCCATCACCAGCAAGAGGGGCCCCACCCCCAAAACCCCCAAGACACCCACCACTGAACTGCCCCCCGGCAGCACCATCACCACAGACACTGATGAGGTGGGTGACTGAGAGGGAGGAAACGGTTACCTGAACATTTACCTGTGTGTTGACTGTGTTTTAATGATTTATTTTGACTTTTTCAGAATAAAAAACCATGCCTCGTCCAGAGAAGAGGAGCAGAGTTCTCGCTGATGACGGTTGCCAGGCACTTTGGCCAGGAGCTGACAGGGTCACTGCCCTATCTGTGGGAGTCCATGGTGGGACCTCTGAAGGCTGTGGTGGAGGACAACCAAGGCATCGGTATGCTACACTCATTAGATTGACATTTTAGTAATTTAGCAGACGCTCTTACTTTTACCCCCTTTTTCTCCCCAATTTCGTGATATCCAATTGCGATCTTGTCTCATCGCTGCAACTCCCCAACGGGCTCGGGAGAGGCGAAGGTAGAGTCATGCGTCCTCCGAAACATGACCCGCCAAACCGCGCACCTGCCAGCTTTACCCAGAAGCCAGCTGCATCTATGTGTCGGAAGAAACACCGTTCAACTGACGACCAAAGTCAGCCTGCAGGCGCTTGGCCCGCCACAAGGAGTTGCTAGAGCGCGATGAGCCAAGTAAAGCCCCCCGGCCAAACCCTCCCCTAACCCGAACAACGCTGGGCCAATTGTGCGCCGCCCTATGGGACTCCCGGTCATGGCTGGTTGTGAAACAGCCTGGGAATGAACCCGGGTCTGTAGTGACACCTCAAGCGCTGCGATGCAGTGCCTTCGACATGTTCATTGGGATCACTGTAGGAAAACCTTTCAAAACGCAAACTGAAAATGAGCGTTTCTTATTGAACAAGTACAGGTAGCCCTTCCCTGTTTCAGTCCATTTGGTGCTTAATGAACATGACCCAGATGTATTTCTGTTTGCTACCCGCATGTCCACTTCTAGATGGGTATCTTCATATACCTCTTGTGTGTGTCGTCATCAATGAAGAGATATTGATGTATATAATTTTTCTCTGTGGTGTTGTAGATTGGAAGCTCCAGATGGAGAGGGGGGATGCTGCGGCCCAGGATCTGGTCAACTCACTGCAGGTCCTGGAGGTCACGGCTGGGGCCATGGCCCCTGAGCTCAAACCTCTGGTAATAGAACATGCAGGAGTCTCCCCAGTAGAAACACCACCTACCCTATCTACCAAACCACAGTGGAAGATTGACGTATCAAAGTTCTTGTTTTCATTTAAAAGGGAAATTATAAAACTTGTTTTCAGACTTCAAAAGTAGTCTGTCAAGATGAATCCACATCCCTTGCCATCTGCTGTGTAGTTCCAACTATATGCCCCAAGCCCAAATTAATGGTGAAGATGAGCACCGGTATCTGGAGTAACGTGCTGGTGTTTGGATTGTGCCATGTAGATTGATCTACAAAACAGGTGGCCAGGGACGTGGGTTTTTCTCGACAGAAGACTTTGACATGAAAACATCGGACAAACTTTGATTTTGGAGTGTAATGTCTCTAAAGAATGCATTTACTGTATTGTCTGTCTGATGGTCAAATCTTCCCCTTTGTGTATTTCAGTTGTTGGAGCACCTGCCCCACCTGTTCACCTGTCTGCAGCATCCATACACTGCCGTGCGTCACATGGCGGCGCGCTGCGTGGGCGTGCTCAGTAAGATCGCTACCATGGAGACCATGCACCTGTTCCTGGAGCGCGTGCTTCCCTGGCTGGGGTGCATCGAGGACAGCACTAAGCAGGAGGGGGCCATCGAGGCCATGGCCTGTATCTTTCATACGTTGTCACGCAGTTAGACATGTTCCCATACTACATACTATATGATTTTTTATAAATAGGGTTGGAAAATTATATGCCATGTAGCAGACACTTTTATCTAGGGCCGGGACGATACCAGTATAAGCGATTCTCGTTAGTATCGTGGCAAGGAAACAAAACACAAAGCGGATTTAACTTATTTAGGAAAAGAGCTCTGTTGGAAACAAACATCATTATGTTGTCATCCAGAGTCACATTTATTTATTTAAAGGACCAAAGAGTTTGGTTTGCTTCGTGTTTTCATTTTTGCATACACTTTAAGTATATGTGACTCCAGTGGGAATCGAATCCATGACCATCCAAGACCTGATGTAACTGAAAGTATTTGAGGTTCACTATGGGTGTAATGACACCAGGGGAGTGGGTGTCATTGTCGTGTGGTTGGTTGTCCTTGACCCCTTGGCCCCCCCAGGTGTGATGGAGCAGTTGGATGTGGACATCGTGCCATACATTGTGCTGCTGGTGGTGCCGGTGCTGGGCCGCATGAGTGACCCCAGTGACAGCGTCCGTTTCATGGCCACGCAGTGCTTCGCCACCCTCATCCGCCTGCTACCCCTGGAGGTATACACACACACAAACCAATACAGAACAGTCAGTATGTTTTAAGGAAATTCGTTTGAGCAAGTATTTATTTAGGAGTAGTTATTAGCTTTTTTGGGATTACATTTACATTTTAGTAATTTAGCAGACGCTCTTATCCAGAGCGACTTACAGTTAGTGAGTGCATACATTTTCATACTGGCCCCCCGTGGGAAACGAACCCACAACCCTGGCGTTGCAAATGCCATGCTCTACCAACTGAGCTACAGGGGACTACATGCCAGGTGATTCTGTGCAGTCCGAATGCAATGTAGTCAATTTCAAACATTCACTAGATCTGCCATATACAGTGCATTCAGAAAGTATTCAGACCCCTTGGCGTTTTCCACATTTTGTTACAGCCTTAATCTAAAATGGATTCAATCGTTTTTTCCCCCTCCTCAATCTACACACAATACCCCATAATGACAAAGCAAAAACTGGTTTTTAAAAATGTTTGCAAATGTATTCAAAATAAAAAAACTAAAATACTTAGGTATACAGACCCTTTACTCAGTACTTTGTTGAAGAACCTTTGGCAGCGATTACAGCCTCGAGTCTTCTTTGGTATGACGCTACAAGCTTGGCACACCTGTATTTGGGGAGTTTCTCCTGTTCTCTGCAGATCCTCTCAAGCTCTGTCAGGTTGAATGGGGAGCGTCGCTGCACAGCTATTTTCAGGTCTCTCCAGAGATGTTCGATCGGGTTCAAGTCCAGGCTCTGGCTGGGCCACTCATTGACATTCAGAGACTTTTCCCGATGCCACTCCTGCGTTGTCTTGGCTGTGTGCATAGGGAAGATGTCCTGTTGGAAGGTGAACCTTCGCCCCAGTCTGAGGTCCTGAGCGCTCTGGAGCAGGTTTTCATCAAGAATCTCTGGATACTTTGCTCTGTTTATCTTTCCCTCGATCCTGACTAGTCTCCCAGTCCCTGCCGCTGAAAAACATCCCCTCAGCATGATGCTGCCACCACCATGCTTCACCGTAGGGATGGTGCCAGGTTTCCTCCAGACGTGACGGTTGGCATTCAGGCCAAAGAGTTCAATCTTGGTTTTATCAGACCAGAGAATCTTGTCTCATGGTTTGAGAGTCCTTTTAGGTGCCTTTTGCCAAACTCCAAGCGGGCTGTCATGTGCCTTTTTACTGAGGAGTGGCTTCTGTCTGGCCACTCTACCATAAAGGCCTGATTGATGGAGTGCTGTTTTGGTACCCTTCCCCAGATCTGTGCCTTGACACAATCCTGTCTCTGAGCTCTACGGACAATTCCTTCGACCTCATGGCTTGGTTTTTGACATGCACTGTCAACTGTGGGACCAATCAATTGAATTTACCACAGGTGGACTCCAATCAAGTTGTAGAAACATCTCAAAGATGATCAATGGAAACAGAATGCACCTGAGATCAATTTTGAGTGCCATAGCAAAGGGTCTGAAAACTTATGTAAATAAGGTATTTCAGTTTTTTATTTTTAATACATTTGCCAAAAAATTCTAAACTTGTTTTTGCTTTGTCATTTTGGGGTATTGTGTGTAGATTTAAAAATTAAACAATTTTAGAATAAGGCTAACTTAACAATGTGGAAAAAGTCTAGGGGTCTGAATCCTTTCCAAATGCACTGTATCATTTCTTAACCCTGGGCAACATGGGCCTGGGAGGTTTACAGGGATATTGGTATCTACAGTACTCCACCAATTCTACATTTTTTAACTCAATACTTCTTGTATTTTTACGTAAATGCACTGTAATTTAAGCTTTAAAACTGCGGTGTTATCTGTGCCTCGTGGCAAAATGTGTAGTATTGCAGGATATTGGTTTTGAAGTTGCAACAACAAACAATCTCTGCCCCATGACACACAATGTGTAAAATTGCAGGAAATTTGCTTGAACACTGCAAAGTTCTCTCTACAATGCCAAGAGGCTGGCCTTTAAAATGTTCCATCCCAGGGCCCGAGACTTGGTTCGTCCGGCCATGCACTGTTGGAAGTCATAGTACAACACCTCGTATGCTATTTTTATCTCACTCAAGTTGTTCTGATTATGAGGTTGTCCCTGATGAATTTGCTATCACAAAAGGGGTCCCCGGCCCAAAAAAGTTTGAGAACCCCTGATCTACAGTGTTATTTCCTACTGCACAATATGGTCAATTCTATTTTGACCAGTAGAAGGCAGTATATCTCATTGTTATCCTATATTTTATGTGATGGTCATTTGGAGGATGTGTGTTCTCCTTCCATTTTGATTGAAGGCGACTTTGACCTCTCAGTCAGCGGTTAAGTGTTGTCAGCTCATTTGTTCAGTTCAGTCAGAGATGAAGTGGGAGTAATGAATCAGGCACACTGCAGAACCGGACAATTCAATGTCATTACCTTCCATACCGAGACTTACATTGTTGACTCCCGTATTTCATATTTAGGAGGCTTGGCTTTTGCACCTGATATTATTTGTTTAGAGATCTTACAGCCTTTTCACACTCGTGCTGTGCCCATTCGTATTGCACTCAGATATTTTATTTTCTCATTGTCCTTTCCAGCAAGGTTCCAGCAACTATGGTGGATGCTAAACCAGGCCAGCGAAGTACAGTTGGGCTTGGTTCGGCTTAGTGGTGTGAGAAGGGTATGAGTTTTGAGTCCTATTTATTATTATTTTTTTTAGGCGGGTATCCCGGACCCTCCCACCATGTCGGACGATCTGATTCGCCAAAAGGCCAGAGAGCGTCACTTTCTGGAGCAGCTGCTTGACGGCAGGAAGCTGGAGAACTACAAGATCCCTGTGCCCATCCAGGCCGAGCTCCGCAAGTATCAGCAGGTGTGTTTACAAATCTGTGTTTACATGTCTATCTTTTTACTTTTCTGTGTTTGTTTACACATGTTTCTATATGTGTGTTTTAGAGATGGATCAATAATCAGTAGAACCGCTATTAGCCCTTTCATTTACATTACATTTACATTACATTTTTGTCATTTAGCAGACGCTCTTATCCAGAGCGACTTACAGTTAGTGCATACATTATTTTATCGAACCCACAACCCTGGCGTTGCAAACGCCATGCTCTACCAACTGAGCTACATCCCCTGCCGGCCAAATCCCTCCCCTACCCTGGACGACGCTGGGCCAATTGTGCGCGCCGCCCCATGGGTCTCCCGGTCGCGGCCGGCTACGACAGAGCCTGGATTCGAACCAGGATCTCTAGTGGCACAGTTTAGCACTGCGATGCAGTGCCTTAGACCACTGCGCCACTCGGGAGTATAGTCTATTGATGCGCCTTTCCTAGTCTATCGGCTATTGGCCCTTGACTATAGGTGCAGTGTCAAACTACTGCAAGCTACAGCCGGCGCATATTTATTGGAAAGGCGCATCAATCTCATCACCTTGCACTTGATCTTTTATTTCAATCTGAATGCTTTCCTGACATCTCGTAGTGGGAGGACTACACATGACAAAGCAAAAACATTTACATGAGTATTCAGACCCTTTACTCAGTACTTTGTTGAAGCACCTTTGGCAGCGATTACAGCCTGGAGTCTGACACTACAAACTTGGCACACCTGTATTTGGGGAGTTTCTCCCATTCTTCTCTGCAGATCCTCTCAAGGTCTGTCAGGTTGGATGGGGGAGTGTTGCTGCACAGCTATTTTCGTGTTCAAGTCCAGGCACTGGCTGGCCCACTCAAGGACATTCAGAGACTTGTCCACTCAAGGACATTCAGAGACTTGTCCCGAAGCTACTCCTGCGTTGTCTTGGCTGTGTGCTTAGGGTCGTTGTCCTGTTGGAAGTTGAACCTTCGCCCCAGTCTGAGGTCCTGAGTGCTCTGGAGCAGGTTTTCATCAAGCATCTCTCTGTACTTTGCTCCTTTTCATCTTTCCCTTGATCCTGACTAGTCTCCCAGTCCCTGCCGCTGAAAAACATCCCCACAGCATGACGTTGCCACCACCATGCTTCACCGAAGGCATGGTATTGGCTAGGTGATTAGCGGTGCCTAGTTTCTTCCAGAAGTGACGCTTGGCATTCAGGCTAAAGAGTTCAATCTTGGTTTCATCAGACCAGAGAATATTGTTTCTCGTGGTCTGAGAGTCCTTTAGGTGCCTTTTGGCAAACTCCAAGCAGGCTGTCGTGCCTTTGATGCCACTCCTCAGTAAATCTGGCCACTCTACCATAAAGGCCTGATTTGGTGGTGCTGCAGAGATGGTTGTCCTTCTGGAAGGTTCTCCCATCTCCAGAGGCACTCTGGAGCTCTGTCAGTGACCATTGGGTTCTTGGTCACCTCCCTGACCAAGGCCCTTCTCCCCCGATTGCTCAGTTTGGCCGGGCGGCCAGCTCTAGGAAGAGTCTTGGTGGTTCCAAACTTCTACCATTTTAAGAATGATGAAGGCTACTGTGTTCTTGGGGACCTTCAATGCTGCAGAAATGTTTTGTTACCCTTCCCTAGATCTGTGCCTCGACACAATCCTGTCTCGGAGCTCTACGGACAATTCCTTCGACCTCATGGCATGGTTTTTGCTCTGACGTGCACTGTCAACTGTGGGACCTTTTATATAGACCGGTGTGTGTGCCTTTCCAAATCATGTCCAATCAATTGAATTTACCACAGGTGGACTCCAAGTTGTAGAAACAGCTCAAGGATGATCAATGGAAACGGGATGCACCTGAGCTCAATTTTGAGTCTCATAGCAAAGGGTCTGAATACTTATGTAAATAAGGTATTTCAGTTTTTTTATTAATAAATCCCCCCCCCCAAAAAAAAAAAAAAAAAAAACTTTTCGCTTTGTCATTGTGGGATGTTGTGTGTAGATTGAGTTTTTTTTTTTATTGAATATGCATTCACCTGTATTGTAAGTAGGTCTAGGCGTCATCTTGATTTACCCAGTTTATCAAGAGGGATTTACCGTCTTAAATAAATAATTAGGTACACTGAACAAATATAAATGCAACAATATCGAAGAGTTACAGTTCATATAAGGAAATCCGTCAATTGAAATAAATTCATTAGGCCCTAATCTACGAATTTCACATGACTGGGAATACAGATATGCATCTGTTGGTCACAGATACTGTTCAAAAAAGTAGGGGCGTGGATCAGAAAACCAATCAGTATCTGGTGTGACCACCATTTGCCTCATGCAGTGCGACACATCTCCTTCACATAAAGTTGATCAGGCTGTTGATTGTGAATTTTGTCTTCTTCAATGGCTGTGCGAAGTTGCTGAATATTGGCGGGAACTGGAACATGGTCATACTCGTTGATCCAGAGCATCCAAAACATGCTCAATGGGTGACATGTCTGAGTATGCAGGACGCTGAAACATGAGGTGATGGCAGTGGATGAATGGCACGACAATGGGCCTCGTCATAGTACCTCGGTACATTCACATTTCCGTTGATAAAATGCAATTGTGTTCGTTGTCCGTAGTTTATGCCTGCCCATACCATAACCCCACCACAACCATGGGGCACTCTGTTCACAACGTTGACATCAGCAAACCGCTCGTCCACACAACGCCATAGCCACAGTCTGCCATCTGCCCGGTACAGTTGAAATCCATGAAGAGCACACTTTTCCAGTGGCCATTGAAGGTGAGAATTTGCCCACTGAAGTCGGTTACAGCTCTGGAGGACATTCCTGCAGTCAGCATGCCAATTGCATGCTCCCTCAAACTTGAGACATCTGTGGCACATTTTAGTGGCCTTTTATCGTCCCCAGCACAAGGTGCACATGTGTAATGATCATACTGTTTAATCAGCTTTTTGATATGATACACCTGTCGGGTGGATGGATTATTTTGGCAAAGTAGAAATTCTCAGTAACAGGGATGTAAACACATTTCTGGGCTCTTTTTATTTCAGCTCATGAAACATGGGACCAACACTTTACATGCTGCTTTCATAATTTTGTTCCGTGTAATAATTGACTATTCCACCCTGACCGAGTTCTCGTGCAATATTTCACGCAATATGATTGCAAATGTGACTTTCATTGACATTAAGGTGCAGTAATGAGGCGCTTTCAGAGCAGGGCAGAGAAAATAAAGAAATTACATTTTTTGTAAAAAATAAAAGATATGTATTGCTGTTTTTTTATATTTTAATGTTTTTAAATACTTTTGTCATCGTGGCAGAGACATGTATGTGTAGGCCATCTATCTGATGCTGTCTGGACAAAAGTCAGAGGGGTGCTGTTTCGCTTGCTCGGGTGTTTTCTCCGGTGAGATATGGTCGTTTTAGCCACTTGCAAGGGAAGTTGGTGGGTGCACTGTTCAGATGCTGTAATTATTTTGGATGAACGTGCAAAGGTAGGCTACTTTTTGAAGTGATTTGTTTGACAATCAGATGACAACATGACTGGTTGTGTTCATGGCACATTAAAACGTAATACATTTTTACAGTTAAATTACATGTATTTACTATAAAACCCATAAATATTTACTATAAAACCTAATAGAAACTTGTTGGATATATTTGCAATTCATTTAGGATGTTTCAGATTATTTTGTGCCCAATAAAAATGAATGGTAAATAGTGTTATTTATCTATTCAGCGCTTTAGTCTCATTGTTTTCTGCTAGGCTCTACAAAAAGGGTTTGCTTTTAAATGCTGCAGGGAGGAGGGTAGCTTCTGCTGACAAATGGCTTTTGGACAGAACAAATAAAGAATTGTGGAATTGATGGGCTTGTATACTGTGCTGGTATCCTGCTGAGCCCAACATCCATCTCTCTAGTATAATGGAACCCTGCAGAGTATTGGGATAAAACCTCTCTGCTGGTCAACACAGGATAGGGCTACACCCAGCATAGACTAGACTAGACTGGTGCAGAACAAGCATGCCACTGTGACGTTCAGCGTGTTTTGATTAGTTGTTTGGGATACAAAGTGATTTGAAGATCAGTGATTTGTGCAGTCCGACTGCTATGTAGTCAACCTCATATGCACAATATCAGCACAGTAAAGATGTTTGTGTGAATCCTTTGACTCCCCAAAAACGCAGTGCAACAGCTCATTGCATCCCATCATTGTCTGCTCTGTCATAGCTAGTATGTAAAATGTGATTGACAAGGTTATTAAAATGAGTTGTTGATGGACCGTTTCAATAACTTTGATTACATTTACATTTTGATCTCTCCAGGACGGAGTGAACTGGCTGTCCTTCCTGAACAAGTACAAGCTGCACGGTATCCTCTGTGATGACATGGGCCTGGGCAAGACCCTGCAGTCCATCTGCATCCTGGCTGGGGACCACTACCTCAGGTACTGAACTGCATGACCACACACTAGTCACGTTCCAGGCCGACTATATTGCAGTTGTGCTGCATTTATCAACCAATGGTTGCAACTGCAGATTGCTATGTCATAATGTGGTAAGCTGATATGCTAAATACTAGGGATGTGCATCTTTCCCTTTCAAAAAATCTCTGAAGCTGGAGACTCTTATCTCCCTCACTAACTTTAAGCATCAGTTGTCAGAGCACCTTACCGATCACTGCACCTGTACACAGCCCATCTGAAATTAGCCCACCCAACTACCTCATCCCTATATTGTTATTTATTTTGCTCTTTTGCACCCCAGTATCTCTATTTGCACATAATCTCTTGCACATCTAGCATTCCAGTGTTAATACTAATTGTAATTATTTTGCACTATAGCCTATGTATTGCCTTACCTCCATAACTTGCTACATTTGCACACACTGTATATATATTTTCTGTTGTATTTTTTGACTTTATGTTTTTTTACCCCATATGTAACTCTGTTGTTTTTATCACACTGCTTTGCTTTATCTTGGCCAGGTCGCAGTTGTAAATGAGAACTTGTTCTCAACTGGCTTACCTGGTTAAATAAAGGTGAAATAAAATAAATAAATAAAAGACAATTCAATACGTATCTAGATACATGGGCTCCAATAAGATACAGAAACGATACGTTTTAGTTTGAAGCGATTCGGTTTGATTAGAGAACGATACGATTCAATGCACTAACATTTGTTGAATAAACACATTTCAGTTTCAATTATATATTAAAATCTGCTGCTGATATGGAGCTCATGAACGGGGCCTTTGTGTGGGGAATTATACATGTGTATGAGCTAAGTAGGCAGCTGAGCCATAAGGGAGACTAGGCATCTACCACCCCACTACCAGATTAGGGGGTCAATGTAGCCTGTTTTTTGTCCCCCACACTAATTATCTGTCATGGTCAAAACATATTGATACAACAGTAGCTAGGATGGGGAGATGTCTGTCCATAATAAAGCACTGCTCTACCTTCTTAACAGCACGATCAACAAAACAGGTCCTACAGGCCCTAGTTTTGTCGCACATGGACTACTGTTCAGTCGTGTGGTCAGGTGCCACAAAAAGGGACTTCAATGTTTTTCAATTGGCTCAGAACAGGGCAGCATGGCTGGACCTTGGATGTACACAGAGAGCTAACATTAATAACATGCATGTCAATCTCTCCTGGCTGAAAGTGGAGGAGAGATTGACTTAATGTTGAATGCACCGAGCTGTCTGTTTGGCGCACAGCTCGGACACCCATGCATACCCCACAAGACATGCCACGAGGTCTCTTCACAGTCCCCAAGTCCAGAACAGACTATGGGAGGTGCACAGTACTACATAGAGCCATGACTACATGGAACTCTATTCCACATCAACTGATGTAAGCAGTAAAATTAGATTTAAAAAACTGATAAAAATACACCTTATGGAACAGCGGGGACTGTTAAGCAACACAAACATAGACACATGCATACACACATGATAACATACGCACTATACACACACTTACACATCGATTTTGTATTGTAGATATGTGGTAGTGGTGGAGTAGGGGCCTGAGGGCACACAACGTGTTGTGAAATCTGAATGTAATGTTGCCTTGGCAGCAGTTAATGGGGATCCATAATAAATACAAATACAGAACTTGTAACATCACCCACTAAATAACTTTCAATTTTTGCAGATTGTGTTTGCGCTAGTAATGTGTCAATATTTATCATTTACAAATTAGCTATCACATAGCCAATGAATATATAGCACAACAACTTTGGATTTCACCCCCATTTCAAAATCGAATGGTTTTGACCGTTTGGAAGTTTTTGCGGAGTGATCTCTTCTCCTCTGGCTTTGGCCATGCAGTGCGCTTTGCAAAAGTGATTGCTGTCCTCGTTATGAAATTATCCATCTTTCCCTGTATATCACAAAATTACCATATACAGTGCCTTTGGAAAGTATTCAGACCCCTTGACCTTTTCCATCTTTTTGTTATGTTACAGTCTTATTTTAAAATTGATTAAATTGTTTTTTTCCCCTCATCAATCTACACACAATACCCCATAATGACGAAGCAAAAACAGGTTTTTAGAAATTTTTGCAAAGGTATATAATCTTTTGCCATCATCAGTTCTTTTTAAGTCTTGGTTCCAATAGTTTATATTTTTATCTAAGAGATTGTCAGTTGGATAGGCTCTCTGCATGGTTTTGTATACTTTCCCTATCATATGAACATCCTTTTCTGACTCAAATAAGGTTCCCTCCAGGTTGCTCTGATGATTTTCATGATGTGTAATGTTTAAGTGAATCTATATTGGTCAGTCCAAAATTGCTTTTTAATTCTGTCATGGAAATAAATGTGTTTTCTGTTACCAAGTCATTTATGCCTTTTAATTTTGCATGTGGACCAATTTATCGGTGAATTCTGAAAAGCTATCCAAGGATTGTTCCATAAGGTTGTTTTTAGGGAGTAATATTGGTTCTTAGCTTGATCCTTTTTTGAAAATAGACACGTAAAAATATTCTGGGGATGAGCATGTGCATCTTCAATATGTACCCATTGTTCCTCTTTAGTGCATTTAACTACAGTGGCTTGCGAAAGTATTCACCCCCCCTTGGCATTTTTCCTATTTTGTTGCCTTACAACCTGGAATTAAAATAGGTTTGTATCATTTGATTTACACAACATGCCTACCACTTTGAAGATGCCCCCCAAAAAATGGGGTGAAACAAACAAGAAATAAGACAAACAGAACTTGAGCGTGCATAATTATTCACCCCTCCAAAGTCAATACTTTGTAGAGCCACCTTTTGCAGCAATTACAGCTGCAAGTCTCTTGGGGTATGACTCTTTAAGCTTGGCACATCTAGCCACTGGGATTTTTGCCCATTCTTCAAGGCAAAACTGCTCCAGCTCCTTCAAGTTGGACGGGTTCCGCTAATGTTCAGCAATCTTTAAGTCATACCACAGATTCTCAATTGGATTGAGGTCTGGGCTTTGACTAGGCCATTCCAAGACATATTTAAATGTTTCCCCTTAAACCACTCAAGTGTTGCTTTAGCAGTATGCTTAGGGTCATTGTCCTGCTGGAAGGTGAACCTCTGTCCCAGTCTCAAATCTCTGGAAGACTGAAACAGGTTTCCCTCAATGTCCCTGTATTTAGCGCCATCCATCATTCCTTCAATTCTGACCAGTTTCCCAGTCCCTGCCGATGAAAAACATGGTGTTCTAGGGGTGATGAGAGGTGTTGGGTTTGCACCAGACATAGCATTTTCCTTGATGGCCAAAAAGCTCAATTTTAGTCTCATCTGACCATAGTACCTTCTTCCATATGTTTGGGGAGTCTCCCACATGGCTTTTGGTTAACACCAAACGTGTTTGCTTATTTTTTTTCTTTAAGCAATGGCTTTTTTCTGGCCACTCTTCCGTAAAGCCCAGCTCTGTGGAGTGTACGGCTTAAAGTGGTCCTATAGACAGATACTCCAATCAATTTGCAGCTCCTTCAGGGTTATCTTTGGTCTCTTTGTTGCCTCTCTGATTAAAGCCCTCCTTGCCTGGTCCGTGTGTTTTGGTGGGTGGCCCTCTCTTGGCAGGTTTGTTGTGGTGCCATATTCTTTCAATTTTTTAAATAATGGATTTAATGGTGCTCCGTGGGATGTTCAACGTTTCGGATATTTTTTTATAACCCAACCCTGATCTGTACTTCTCCACAACTTTGTCCCTAACCTGTTTGGAGAGCTCCTTGGTCTTCATTGTGCCGCTTGCTTGGTGGTGCCCCTTGCTTAGTGGTGTTGCAAACTCTGGGGCCTTTCAGAACATTGTGTGTGTGTGTATATATATATATATATACTGAGATCATGTGACACTTAGATTGCACACAAGTGGACTTTATTTAACTAATTATGTGACTTCTGAAGGTAATTGGTTGCACCAGATCTTATTTAGGGACTTCATAACAAAGGGGGTGAATACGTATGCACGCACCACTTTTCCGCTATTTATTTTTTTATAATTTTTTTAAACTAATTTTTTTCATTTCACTTCACCAATTTGGACTATTTTGTGTATGTCCATTACATGAAATCCAAATAAAAATCAATTTAAATTACATGCAACAAAATAGGAAAAACGCCAAGGGGGCTGAATACTTTTGCAAGGCACTGTATGTTGCAAGTAAAAGCCTTGGGTAGCTTGTTGATACAATTCCAAGTCTGGAAGGTTAAAACCACCCTCAGATTTAGGAAGATGTAAAACGTTTTTTTTTATTCTAGTAATTTATTTGCCATATAAAGTCTTATGACAGAGTATACTTTTGAAAGAATGTCTTCGGTGGGGTAATTGGTATTACCGAAAATAAATACAAAAACTTTGGCAGCCATGCCATTCTAAAGAGGTTTATTCTACCTGTAAGATTTATGGTAAGATTATTCCATTTAATTAGACCTGCTTTCATATTGTTGAGTAATGGAATAAAGTTATCTTTATATATTTGTTAGTTGTCACTTAAATATTTTCTGGTGCTCCTAAATGCACCAGTGCTACCAATTTTTTTTCTTTTCTTTTTTCTTTAATTTTTCATTTCTATTTGGAGCCCTGGTCACATGCAGTTTCACACTGAAGGAGAGGACACATCAGTTGTCACAGAAGATTAAAGGTATTTTTGGAGGGTAGAAAGAATATTTTATGAGCAAAATAAATAATTTGAACCGGCGATTCGTAACGTTTGAATAGATGTTCTGACCGATGCATGCTACATTTGGATCAGTTTGGGGTTCACGGACCAACGCAATTGTATCTTAAACGTTTGAATCGGGGACCGATGCGTGTCAGTGAATTGTTACATCCCTACTAAATACCTATCCAGGCGTTGTGAAATCTGGCAGGCAACTGCAATGTAGTCGTCCTGGAATGCGCCCACAGTTTGACTTTCAACTGTACGCCTTCAGCACATTGGAGAGGCTCCTCTGTTGTTAAAGGAGTTGTCATATTAATTGTTACATTGTGTGCAGGGTGCAGGAGTATGCCAAAACCAAGGCGGCAGACAGCACCCCCCTGCCCTCTCTGGTGGTGTGCCCCCCCACCCTGACAGGTCACTGGGTGGACGAGGTGGGCAAGTTCTGCACCAAAGAGTACCTGAACCCCCTGCACTACACGGGACCCCCTACAGAGCGAGCACGGTAAGACCCCTTTACCAACCCTGACCCACCCAAACATACACATGATTCCACCACAGAGACATTGTGTAGGAGAACACAGCATCATTTGTTTCAATTATTCACGTAAAAATATTTCATGATATCTTGTTTTTTGTATTGCAGGTTACAGCATCAAGTGAAAAAGCACAACCTGGTAGTAGCCTCTTACGATGTTGTACGGAACGACATTGACTTTTTTAGGTTATTTATTTATTTATTTATTTATTTATATATATATATATATATATATATATTGCCATAGAACAAAATATATCTTCTTTGGAAGGCTGGATAAGTGATTTTATAAATAACATATGTATAAATAATTTTTTTAGGAATATACATTTCAATTACTGTATCCTCGACGAGGGCCATGTGATCAAGAACGGGAAGACCAAGCTCTCAAAAGCCATAAAGCAGTTGGCGGCCAACTTCCGAGTTATCCTATCAGGAACGCCCATCCAGGTGGGGGCATGAAACTTTTTCCAATTTTAGTCCGTGAAGAATGAGCAAAGGCTTCTGCAGTGGAAATGCATCTGATTTTAAGTTGCTAACACACTTGCAGTGTTTTTGTTTTGGCACTTTGGTACTAATCTTTAATGTAAGACCATGATCCTCTTGAGCCTGTTCTGTGCTCACTGCATTAGATGAATCTTGCCTAATCATTTCTCTATTCTGGCCTAATGATTCCAGTTCCTCCACTCTGTGGGGTGGTTGGAGTTATTGGTTTTCCATTGACAGGTGTATTAGTGGATGAAATGAAATAAGGACATTATGCCAAGCCTGTGACAATAGTGGTGATGTAGGCCAGATTGTGGATGCTTATTGTCTACTCTGCTACTGTAGACTTCTGTTAGATGAGTTCAGCCCAAGCATTCAGAATACTTGTAAATCTCAGCATTTATTTCAGTCTAATACAACTCGCTCTCTGTCTCTCCTTCTTCCACCTCTCCTCAGAATAATGTTCTGGAGCTGTGGTCGCTCTTTGACTTCCTCATGCCCGGCTTCCTGGGCACAGAACGCCAGTTTGCTGCCCGCTACGGCAAGCCCATCCTGGCCAGCCGTGACGCCAAGAGCTCGTCGCGCGAGCAGGAGGCCGGTAAGATCTAATTTTGGTGTGGTCATCAGCCCTGAGTGCCTAACAATGAGTGCACGGAAGCTGGATCTGGTTCATTTGGCACTAGGAATAGGTTGTGAGGATATCAGTCTCGTGATATTGCAATACTCTATTTTCCATGGCAAAAATTGTAACCCGATGCGGACAACTCTTTGGTCCTTTAACCTGTTAAAGCATTTTCATTTGAAAGGTACAGCCCTGGTCTTTTTGGAAATTAAACTCAATTCTTACTGCTGGCAATGTCATAAACCCCCCCCCCCACTGCCATAAATCATGCGCTATGGTCATATTCTTAAGAGTATGCAATGTAGGTCAAGTCACCAAAAGTGCAGACATTTCGTGTGCATGGAAAGGGTACATCCTTTGTGTCTAATAGCTAGGGTCATTTTAAGATGTCAGGCTTGAAAATCCGTTCAGCCATTTTGGCACAGTGACTCGCTACCCAAACCAGATGCAACTTTCAAGTGGCCAAGACACGTGATCGATCTACTGCTGTCTAATGGACGAACTGGGATTCAGACGGGGGATATATTTACATCAATGGATAGGTAGACTTTAGCTTTCTCATATGTATATCATTGCTGTACAACTAATGATTCCTGAAATACGAAAAACATGCCCTGCGCTTTTAAGATAGTGGTGTTCCTATAGGCATTTTAGAACGACACCATTGGGTAAAATATCGGACTTTATTTTTTCTTCCCTTCATTAACATATTATTTTTGGAACAGTAATTGATGACCTGTTTTATGTCAAACCTAGACTTTCAAATCTCTTATTCCCCAACATTTTGACAATTGGGGGGATTCCCCCCCACTCACACTGACAGTGGTGTTAGTATCTTGTAATGACGGTGTTCCCCTCCAGGGGTGCTGGCCATGGAGGCGCTGCATCGCCAGGTTCTGCCCTTCCTCTTGAGGAGGATGAAGAAGGACGTGCTGCAGGACCTGCCCCCCAAGATCATCCAGGACTACTACTGCAACCTCAGCCCTCTACAGGTACACCACATAGAGGATCTTTGAAACACTTATAACGCCATGTAGATGCCATCTTCATAAGAAGAGAAGAGCATTCGCTTGTGTGTATTCCACTTTCTAGTCACCATAGAAACTAAGGCTGAGGCTGCAACAAATCTTAATGTTTCAATCCATTAAATGAAAGCCTCGTCTGTAGCTTGTTGTATACATACAATCTGTGTGCGTATTTGATGTTGACTACATTGCAGATGGACTATGTAGAATCACTGATCTACAAATCACAGTTCATCCCAAATAACTACTCATTGTGATTTTAGATTAGCAATTCTGTGCCTCCCATTGCTCAAACTGATCCCCTCAAACATTCTCTCTCTGTGTCTGTCTCTCTGTCTGCAGGTTCAGCTGTATGAGGACTTTGCCAAGTCCCGGGCCAAGGTCGGTGTGGAGGACACCATCTCTACAGCCTCCACCCAGGAGGAGGAGAAGCCCAAGCTGAAGGCCACGGGCCACGTGTTCCAGGTACACACACACACACACACACACACACACACACATACACACATACCCATACACACATACACACACATACACACACACACAATGTATGTGACTGCCTCACACACACAATGTATGTGACTGCCTTTGTAGTTTTTGGATTGTCCCTGACCATGAAAGGGGCTTTTTTCTCCACTGAGCTTCTCACACATGTGAATGCATTGAAATGTTAAGTCTGTGTGTATACCATACTTGGTACTTATGTTAACGTCCTCTTCCCTCTCCAGGCTCTGCAGTACTTGAGGAAGCTGTGTAACCACCCAGGCCTGGTACTGCTGCCACAGCACCCTGAGTACAAGCGCATCACAGACCAGCTGGCAGCACAACACTCCAGCCTCCGAGACATCCAGCATTCGCCTAAACTCTCAGCCCTCAAACAGGTACCACTCTACCCCTATACCTTACCTCTGGGTACCACTCATTCCCCATTTCTTACACCAGTGTTTCTTAATCCTGGTCCTGGCATCCAAAGGGGTACACAGTTCAGTTTTTTCCTTAGCACTACGCACCTGATTCAAAGCTTGATGATAAGTTGATCATTTTGAATCAGCTGTGTAGTGCTAGGGCAAAAACCAAAACCTTGGGGTCCCAAGGACCAGGATTAAGAAACACTGCACTACACTAAAGGCGTCCGCATGCTTCCCAGCTGAAACGGTTCGGAACAGTTTGTGCATATATTATGACATTTTGTGACGTTTTAGTCTTCTGCAAGGTTTTTTTCGGTTGTTCGTGCACAAAATAGTTTTCTCGAGGCAAGCCGAATTTGGCAGCCAAAGTCTATGCCCCTTCCTCTGTGATTGGTCAACAGTAGGGATTCTTCAATGAAGTGTTTGTCATTTAATGCGAAAGAGATCATTTTTATGCACATCTTTTCACTTGAGAAATACTGCACCAAACATGTAAAATTGTGCGACTAAGATCTCCTCTGCAAAAACATCAAAATAAATACAATTTATTGTTGGCTTATTTTGACTATTTTGAGGAATAGTATACTTGCTACGGCATCTCAAAATTGACAAACAGTACTATTTCCGCTTTTTCCTTGTTTTTAAGCGAAGGTCTTAAGGAAGTATGCGAGCACACTTGTTTGTTTTACCTAGACGAGTTCTACTTGCAAGGCGCCAGTCGAACTGAAGCATGCTGATGCCTTAAACCCAATCTAGCCCGCACCACCCCTACCCCCTCTCAGCCTTCACAGGTACCATTCTATCCCTATCCCCCCCATCTCTGCTTCAGAACTGGCAGTGACGGGGATAGTAGTGGGGTGAGGTGCAGATATCGGTCTATCGCCTACACTCTGAACTCCATACTACTTAACATCTAGAGATAAAAACACTCAGTGAGTAAGTTGTAATACTGAGCTTTTTTTCCCCCCTCTTCCCGCCCTCCAGTTGTTGTTGGACTGTGGTCTGGGCAGCAGCGGTTCAGCGGAGGGCAGAGAGGTGGTGGTGGCCCAACACAGAGTGCTGATCTTCTGTCAGCTGAAAAGCATGCTGGACATCGTGGAGCACGACCTGCTCAAGCCCCAGCTGCCCACCGTCACCTACCTGCGACTTGACGGCAGCGTGCAGGCGAGCCTGCGCCACTCCATCGTCTCAAGGTGAGAAAGGTGCCAAACAAGAGTTGGTGTCAAACAAGGAATACTGGAATACTCTTAGTAGTGTTGCCAGCAAACCAAAAAATGAAGGGAGCTCCCATCTATTGTTTTTATGACAGGACACCTTAGAAGTAGTTTAAGAGACAGGTATTGGGCGCAGACAGTAGGCAGAGCCGAGGCTCGAACCCACGTCGTCAGGGGGTATATGTAGTCCGTAGTCAGGAGCTTAGACGGCTACACCAGACTCCGGCACAGTCCGTGCCTTTGCTGTAATGTCACCCATTGTGTAACTCACAAATTTGATCTGGATTTAAAGGCACTGTCCTTCTCTCAGCCTCATCTCACGTGGTCCTCTTCCCCTCTTTCACCCTCTTGCTATCTCCTGTGCTCGGTCACGCTCGCTTTCAGGTTCAACAATGACCCCTCCATTGATGTGCTGCTGCTCACCACTCATGTGGGTGGTCTGGGTCTGAACCTGACTGGCGCTGACACGGTGGTGTTTGTGGAACACGACTGGAACCCCATGAGAGACCTACAGGCCATGGACCGCGCCCACAGGATAGGACAGGTATACTACTGCCTCTGCATAGACACACATACCCCTTTTCACACTACTGAGCCAAGCCGAGCTGTACTTGGCTGGCCTGGTTAATCATCCACCGTAGTTGCTGGAACCGTGCTAGAAAGGACAATGTCAAAGAAAAGATCCAGGCCAGCACAGTGCGGTTTGGGTCGGCCCTATAGTGTGAATCGGGCAATGGCGTGTTTGAGGGGATCAGTTTGAGCATGCCGAGGCGGAGAATCACTAAATCTGTGCGTGCCGACTGCAATGTAGTTGATCTCAAACATGCGCACCGGCTTGGCAGTTGGCAGTCTATGTAGTGAAAAGTGACATATTTGTAATAGTGTCTTTTTTTGTTGTTGCAGAAACGCGTGGTGAATGTGTATCGTCTGATCACGCGGGGCACCCTGGAAGAGAAGATCATGGGCCTGCAGAAGTTCAAGATGAACATCGCCAACACGGTCATCAGCCAGGAGAACGCCAACCTGCAGAGTATGGGCACCGACCAGCTCCTCAACCTCTTCACCCTGGACAAGGTCAGTAGCTCTCCCTTGGGTACACACACTTATGCACTCTCTCTTTCCTCGTCTTCTTGGTCATCTTCATGGTCATGCTACTCTTTCACTTACACATCCATTTAACCTTTTTTTTTTTTTTTTTTTGCCTGTCCAACGTGTATATGTTTCCGTCTCTCTAACTGGTCTCTCTCTGTCTAGGATGGGAAGGATGATAAGGGTGAGTCGTCATCCTCAGGAGGGAAAGCCTCCATTAAGAACGTGCTGGACGGTCTGGGGGACCTGTGGGACCAGCAGCAGTATGACACAGAGTACAACCTGGACAGCTTCATGCACGCTCTCCACTAGCTTCTCTTACCCAGCCAGACTAAACGATGCTCATCCCCATCCACCTCCAGCCTAGCAGGGTCATTCTAGACAGCCCTCAGGATGCTCATCTCAGAATGGGATCCCCCTCACACGCACAAGTTTAGCCACATTGACATTCGCCCAAGCCCCAAGGATTCTGTTTTCAAATCCCCCCCCAACAACAACATCCAGGGTTCAGTGCTATCTGCCAGTCTGATTCTAGTTATCCCTATGGCTCCCTCAGTATTCTCTCACCCGAAGGCCTACTGACTTGACCACCTAAAAGCCTTCCCAGCTTCAGTCCTGTCTGCCCTGTGCCCTCTTTTCCCAGGGGGACAGAGGAGCAGGGCCCTCTAGTCTCTCCTTGGGACTGCCTGTACAGTGGAGCAGCAAGATGGGACTCCCCAGAGACTCCTCCAGCCCTGTGGTGGTTCTCCTTATAATCTGCAGTCTTAAAGCACTCTGGCACCCACTATTAGAGGACTACCAGTGCTCTATTGACATATGGCCAAAAACAAGATGTGTGATTGAAAGAAAGAGGGGGAGGCAGGGATTGTTGTGAGCTGACTTATAGGAACACACCCCAGTGTGCTGGCTCTTTATAGCGGGCTACTGGATTGTGCTGTACTGGGTTGTAGACCTGTGACTGTAGATGACTCCTATCCCCAGGTGGCGCTCGTCTCCCCACAGATGTCCTGTGTAAGCACATTCATTTGACCTTTCTCAGCACAGAACTCTTATCAGTCAACTGGCCTGGCACATGATTGGAAAAGCTATGGTCATGGCCAGTGCTGCTCCTCCCCAACCTTGTGAAATGTTACTCTGAATGGCACTGCACTGAAGCAGCAGCACAGGGAATTATACAGTGGGGCCAAACTGAAATGGGCCCCCAAAGAGGACTTGTCACAGAGTTTTAAGAAGAAAATGTAGACCTGTAAATATTAATGTAGTTGTTGCTTTTTGTTTAAACTAATAGAATTATAATAAATTCTACAGACCTTTCAGTGTGCGTCCTGTTTTGTGCGTGCTCCGTCTTGTCCCCATAGTCTGCATTCCCATGTTGGTTGAAGAACACTGTATATAACTTTGAACATGGCCAGTGTGTTCTTGCATTTAGGAATGATGGCACTGAGATTAGCTCTGAATTAACAGTTTATGGGAACAATTTTAGTGGTACATGATGTTGAAAAGCAAGAGAGAGAAAGTGTTGCTTTAAAGTAAAGATGACTATACACATTCAGTGATACTAGAGCTTTAGTTTGATCAGGTGATGGGCTAACTAGTCATATTGCTGCTGCACATCTGAGCCCTATAGTACGAATCAGGTTTGAGGAGTTACCAAGCTAACCTGGGTCAACTCTGTATAAAATGTTAAAATACAGATCACATTAAATTACATGCACAGTAAAATGTTCGTATGATTTGAACATTTTTATCGATAGGAGTAGGGGGAAAATGTTGCTTGTGCACACCAAAGACAGCATTAACGATACGTAATTAAAGTGTGCCACTGACTCGCCCATGTATTGATGTTTCAGCATGGTTTCAATTAAGAGTTCGGTGTTGGACTAGCCACGTGGGACATGCACGTGAAATGTCAAGGCCGCTAGATTTGGCGGCAGGCGGACGCGCAATAGCCACGGATGAAGCCTGAGCTGGAATGTGAAGCTAACTGAAGCTGGCTAGTTTTAGAAAACTGAGTAGATCTCACTTCCTTCACAGTATACCCAGGGCTGGCTCCAGGCATAAGCCACATAAGTCGGGGTCTCAATTTACTGTTAAGAGTTAGAATAGAATATACAAGGTGTACGTTTGAAATTTGGTTGTGTATCAGCAGTTTATTTCTTGTTTTGTCAGTCATTGACAGTCATTCAATTAGCCATGTTAGCTAACAACAACAAAAATAATCGGTAAATGAGTCTAGCCGGTTATCTAAACTTGTAGTAATCCTGGCCGAATACCGACCGGGCATGCAGGGCACGTGCCCAGGGGCCTTGACCTCCCGGGGGCCCCCGTTTGGTTTTGTTAGTCACTCACTCGGATTTCATTAACATAGTATAAGTCATGGCAAAATGTGTATAATTGCAGGAAATGTGCTTTAAAATTGCAAAATGTCTCTGACCCATGGCAAAATAAGTAGAATTTCATACAAATGTGTTATAAAATTGCAAAATGTGTATAACTGCAGGAAATTTACTTTAAAACTTAGATTTTTCTCTCTGCCGTCGAGGGAGCCACACAAAAAAAGATCCCTGATTTCCAGTTACCGCCAGTATCCGGCAACTTTGCACAGCCATTGAAGAGGAGTGGGACAACATTCCACAGGCCACAATCAACAGCCTTATCAACTCTATGCGAAGGAGATGTGTCACGCTGCATGAGGCAAATGGTGGTCACACCAAATACTGACTGATTTTCTGATCCACACCCCTACTTTTTTTTAAGGTATCTGTGACCAACAGATGCATATCTGTATTCCCAGTCATGTGAAATTGATAGATTAGGGCCTAATCTATTTTAATTGACTGATTTCCTTATAGGAACTGTAACTCAGTAAAATCTTTGAAAATTGAAATTGTTGCAACTTGCGTTTATATTTTTGTTCAGTATAGTTTGTAAATTCAGATTCCCTTTACTCTCCAATGGCACCATAGGCCATATAATCTGAATATACAGCCTTTACTTTTTAGATTTGTGCACCAATTGTCTGGTGTTTGTGCTGTAGAGCACAGAGGGGTATCATATGAAGCAGGTTTGCGGAGTTAGCGAGGTAACTTTGGTCAACTCTGAATTCAACTCGGGATAACCGGTCATACGAAAGTGGCTCACCTTTTAGCCAGGTCAATTTCTATGGCAACGAATCCTTCAGAACTAACCTGTTCCGGGGAAGGCTAAAACCCAATTTATGCTTGCTCTGGGGTTGTGATCCGTTGGCTCAATATGGATGGTGTGACGCATTGCGGAGGCTTGCGGAGGCCAAATCGAGCTCTGTACCGCATCACCGTGTGCCTCCCAAATTTTTTAACAATGCCGAGGGCTCCGTATAGCTCCACATTGACATGATTGGTTGACGGTAGGTGGGGCGGTACATCCTGTATAAACACAAACTCACTTCCTTGACAACTTCCTTCACAACAGTTTTGCCCTGCCCCGCGAAGCGCAACAAGTATGAATGCCCTGACTTCTGCAGAGGCCACATCGTAGTAAATACTGTAAGACACTGGATTGAACATAAAGCCAATTTATGCTTGATCTGGACTGTGGTCCGGAGGCTCGGTATGGAGAGTGTGACACAATTGCAGATCCTCCAGAGGCTTGCGGAGGCCAAATCGAGCTTCGTCAAATTTATGCCCTGGTCAACTGTAAGTGATGTTATTGTGAAGTGGAAACATTTAAGAGCAACAAGGTGGTAGGCCACACAAGCTCACAGAACGGGACCGCCAAGTGCTGAAGCGCGTAGCAACACTCACTACCAAGTTCCAAACTGCCTCTGGAAGCAACGTCAGCACAAAAACTGTTCGTCGGGACCTTCATGAAATGGGTTTCCATGGCGGAGCAGCGGCACACAAGCCTAAGATCACCATGCACAATGCCAAACGTCGGCTGGAGTGGTGAAAGCTCGCCGCCATTGGACTCTGGGGCAGTGGAAACGCATTCTCTGGAGTGATGAATCACGCTTCACCATCTGGCAGTCCAAAGGACGAAAGTGGGTTTGGCGGATGCTAGGAGAACGCTACCTGCCTGAATGCATTGTGTTGTTTTTCATGGTTCGGGCTAGGCTCCTTAGTTCCAGTGAAGGGAAACGCTTAACGCTACAGCACATCATTACATTCTAGACAATTCTGTGCTTCCAACTTTGTGGCAACAGTTTGGGGAAGGCTCTTTAGCATGACAATGCCCCCATGCATAAAGCGGGGTCCATACAGAAATGGTTTGTCGAGATCAGTGTGTAAGAACTTGACTGACCTGCTCAGAGCCCTGACCTCAACCCCATCAAACACCTGTGGGATGAATTGGAACGCCTCACTAATGCTCTTGTGGCTGAATCGAAGCAAGTCCCCGCAGCAATGTTCCAACATCTAGTGGAAAGCCTTCCAAGAAGAGTGGAGGCTGTTAAGCAAAGGGGGGACCAACTCCATATTAATGCCCATGATTTTGGAATGAGATGTTTGATGAGCAAGTGTCTAAAAAACCTTTTGGCCATGTAGTGTACCTCATGTAGGGATTTCAAAGGCACGAAAATGAATTTGACCCCCTGGAAAGAGATCGTGGAGGTAATGGGGATAGATGCGGTAAAGAGGTAAATGGAATGCCGTAATTAGCTCATTAAAACTAGATTGATCATGAAATTCATTTTAATATGATTGTAATATATGTCTATGTAGCCTATAGGCCTACTGTATTAATATTTTAATGCAGTCATCTTGGTTTTCATTTGAAGCATGTTTTTATACTTCCCTTGTTTACAAATATTTTCTATGCAATTGTTATAATCAACTTCGTTCTGCAATTATCTGCGGTCAGTTGATAACTGGTTCTAACATGCGTCCTTTGTCCTGATTTTGTAGACATTCAAATCGTGCCCACATTTTTAGACAGGTATAGACGATTAAAAAGACTCATTGTGATCAGACTTTTCTGCCCACCTCCAGAGGCAGTCAGGCACACATTGTGTCTGGATACCTTACAAGTGTAGACAGTCCTGGACAGTGAAGCCATTTAAATCATAATTATAATGCCCTCTAAATTCATTGACAGGTGGCACCTTTGACTTATGTCATCAATGAGTCTTAAAATAAATATTATCTTGATATAATAGTGGTCAAATACTTTGCATACAGGAAGGAAGCAGGAAATATGTTCACAATGCCGACACAGTGGACAGATTAGAGACGCATTTCTGAAAATGTGGGCACAATCAAATTTCGACTTTCCCTTAGTGCCAGATAAACATCTTGACTACGTATAGCGAAGATCTTTGTGTATAAAGTGACGCGGAAGAGCAAAAAAGCATCGAACAACGCTGTTCTACGAGTGGTCTGAGGCAGTCGGTAAATAACGAGCGTTTTGAAGTGCAACTTTAGTAACAATGCTTTTTGAAACAGCTTAGAGACTTAACGATAGTTGTCACAAAGCAAGGTTTAACTTACATGCAAATTCTAAATGTTGCTAAACCCCTACAACCTAAACATAATCCCTCTCCTTACTTTAAGTATAACTGATAAGCCTACATTGCTTCAGTAACCCCTATTGTAACACATAGGTCTTAGAAATGCATTTCAGTTCTCTTGAGATACATTTATTTTCTCACTTCACATCTACCCATTTCAGTCACACACCAGTCAAACAGCTTACTCCAGGCAAAACATCAAGGGATGAGAGAGAGGTGGAAAAGGAGGCCATGCAAAAGATGACAATATTTCACAGCGTCATACAACTATATTTAATAAGACTTGCTTGTTATTAGTACAGAAAAGGGAAAAGGTGGGAACTACAAACTTGAAGCAGTAGTATTAAGCATTAGCAGCATAGAGCTCCATGTTTTTTAAATTACAGTTATACTGCAAATTCAGACAAGCATAGGTCCAAGTCAACAATCTCAAAGCCTTGTCAAGATAGAACCAGTAATCAAACAAAAAATATAACTTTGAAAAATGAATGAACAAACACTGTTCACTTTTTAAAAGTACATTTTAAAAGTAGTGATTTTGTCTGAGAAAAAAAAACTGAGCAGGTTTTGAATCTTTTTTTTTGAGATCACAACATGATGAAGGGCCTACTGATTATCCAGAGAGAACATTCATGAAGCATAAGTGAATATATACTATCCAAATCTAGTGTTACATTAAATATATAGGTATATTTAAAGAGAGGATTATATTAAATTTCTTCCATCACCACACATGATTTCCATCCTACCAAATCTTAGCCTAACTGTCCCTTTCAGTTGCACATAGTTGTTTAATATTGTCAGGGTATAAAATGTTTGCTTAGCAGATAAATAAACAAATGTAATAATACATACTACACAAATACTTGGTGGTATGACTGGAATAATGACCCTTGGGAGAAAGCACTGGGTTAGTACGAGATTCAGTTAATTAGTAGAACACCACCTGTACAAACTGGTAGAAAAGGCAAGCTAGAAATAACATTCTCAGACCAGCATTTGCATTGGTGTTTTTTTTCCACTTATTGATGACCATACTATGGTACAGCAAGTGGTGATGTCACTACACTTCATATGGAGCAATGGTCTATGGAAATGAGGGCAAAATCAGGTTAATGCCATCCCCTAAGAACGCACCACATAATATCAAAGAGGTTGTTAAAGTGCATCTTGGCTCAAATTTTAATCTAAGGCCAGTTCGTACACATACACTAAACTGTGACTAAAGCAATCTAGCTGGTTTGGTGACAGAAAGAAAACATGTCTAAGATTTAGATCTATGCCTCCTCCTATTATGATGAATAAATTCTAACAAGTCACACCCTCCACTTAATTATACGGTGTATCTTAACATTTATTCATTCTTAAATACAATCTCACTGGTGCACATAGCCACTTTTCAGGTTCCTACAGGGGTTTACCCACCATCTGAAACTAAAGGGAGGGTCATGTAACATGATTAAAGTTTTAAAAGGAGTTCATGTGATGTTTCACATCAGTGAAATTGTTGTGACATCTTGGCCATACAATGTTATTGACAGTAATGTTATTGACTATACAAGGTGGGGTTATAGTAGTAGTAGTAGTAGCAGAAGCAGTAGGAGTGGTAAGTAGCATTGTCCAGCTTCCACAACATCACAACATACCACATTCTGCCTTTTTATTTTATTGCCCGTTCATTTGTTTTACATTGCCAATCACTTAACAATACCAACCGTCATTGTATTTTTTTTCTCTCCTTAAATCATCGTCACACTAATGTAAGCAACATCAGCAAGTTAACACATTAAGCTTTGCATTAAAAAAATCTAGACACTTAAGTAACAATATTACAAAGGTTTTTCGGCTTCCAAAAATAAAATTAAGTGAACAAATGAAAATATGTACTTTTTTAAAGAATTTGCGTCATAAAATGAATTTATTCCAAGTAAAATTATAAAATAATATTAATGACATTGACCAGATATGAAAGTCTCCCCCAGAAATAACTATTAATGGTTGAGAAATAAGTCTGTAAAGAAAATACTAAATAAAAATACGTAAATATGTTTAAATTATTTTCTTTTTTAGCAAAAATCTCTAAAAAATAATGAAAAATTTCTCAGTACAAAGGCTACATTACTACTGGAAGGTACTAGCATGTAGAGTAGGTAAATACACAGTAGAAAATGATTTTAGTGAATCACAATGCTTGCAATGAAAATAAATCTGCAATAAAGATTTGCCTCTTTTTCATTTTTTTTTTTTTTACAAACAGTACAAACAGTATTGCACATTACAACAAATAATCGATGTTCTTAGCCTTAAAAAAAAGGGACTAATTCAAGTCTTGCGTGAATAGAAGGCTACCACTCAATTGATGCACCTTGGGGGCTTTCGAACAAGTTACAGTTGAAACACTATCTCTTAATAATATATATTTTTTTAACATTCCTTTATCTCCACCTCATCTGCTCAAAGTCTATGTTTTAAACAATCTCAGGCTAACAAAATCAGGGTTTGTTGCTTTTACAAAACAAAATGGAGCACATACTTTTAGGAAACATAAAAAAGTTTTCTTAAAAAATAACATGAACAGAAGATCTCTTTCACAATTCTGGTCAGCATAGTAAATGACTGATTATAAATATACAAAATAAGGGAAGTATCTTCAGTTCACCCCCAAAAAATGTGGACTAATGTTTTCCCTGGAACACTACTACTCATTTTATATTTGTCTTGGTGACTCCGTGCTTCCACGGGACCAGTGGGAAACTCACTCTAACCTCCTCTGTAATAAGGTAGACTCTGTACTTCAGCTAACAACGTCATTATATTAAAGTTATAAAGCTCTAGCTCCTTCAGTTGTTGTTTTTTCAAAAAATAAAATTTAAAATAAAAGCAAATAAGCATGACAAAAATAAAATCAACCACCTGTTAAATCATCTCTGGCAGAATTAAATTAATATATATATATTTTTTATTTGAATAAACTTACTTAGAAAATATCAATTTCTCTCCTAATATATTTCAAAATTGAGGTATTGCAAAAGATCATGTCAGTCAGAAAGCACACTTTTTGTTTTTCTCCCAACAAAAAAAATAGCTGACTGTTAAACTGTCCAGATACAAAGAGTAGTGCATAACACGTCTATTATAGAGAAGGAACAAACATAGAAAACCCTTCTGGACGGGGAAAGACATCTCACAAAAACACCCAGAATTCACTTAAATAGGGATACTTATTATTACTCATGGTTAGCCTTTTTTTTGTAGACTTTTTTTTTCTATCAATAAAAAAGTATATTCGGTTTAGATTAGTTTACTTTTACCAGAAACAAACAAAATGTTTGTCCTAAAGCAAACAGTTTTGCGACTAAAACCAAGAGAGGACGGCGGGGTGCCAGCACGGGACAATCGCGACACACAGAAAAGGAGACACATCTACTCGCAATGTTGTAGGATCCAGACTGGAATCTCCACAAAACTGCTAAAAACCAGTGTAACTTAGCCCCAAACTCCACCGCTCAAACCCAAACCAACCCCAGCAGCCAATACTTTGTTTATTTGTGCTGCATTCATAACTACCCAATACCTCCCACCCCACCCCCCTCCCATCCTATTCAACTGCACCTCATACCATAGCCTTTTTATTTAAAAAAATATGTCCACCATTTTAGCAGGTCATTATTCTACTTCAAGCTTTGCAGGAAAATCTGGATAAATATGGTCAATCCCAGCTAGCACACAATGTTCTGGCAATGTTATTAAAACCCTGTAGCCATGTTGAGAGAACGTTATGTGCAGGCTGAGAAGGAGCTCAGTTTACTAAACCACAAGTCTCCAGTAGCTTCAATGTTCTGTCTGTCTTCTCATCACTGTCTCATATGCCTTGTGACCATAACAGTACAACTGTTTCTAACTTGCACCTTTAAACCCACAGGCATAGGGCTTGATGCTTCGCACAGTATCATCTGTGGTCTCCGTATGTGTTGGTGGTTTAAGTTGAACATATGTGAGCTCTTTGGTTTTTTGGGGACATGATCTTGTCAACAGTACAGACAGCAGTTCTGTGTTTCTCAGAGTCAAGCTCACGTAAGTCTGTGTGTCATATGTTCTGTGCATTTGGGTCAAACTTTGTGTGCACACTAGGTCTGTATGTATGTATGCATGTATGTATGTATGTATGTATGTATGTATGTATGTATGTATGTATGTATGTATGTATGTATGTATGTATGTATGTATGTATGTATGTATGTATGTATGTATGTATGTATGTATGTATGTATGTATGTATGTATGTATGTATGTATGTGTAAGAGAAAGAGAACCATCTGTGTAATGTCAGTGTGTATGTGTGTACGAGAGAACGTATATACGTGTGCATACACTAGTTCATGAAGTTTCACAGGACTTCTATGTCGGACATTAACAACACTTAAAGCGAATCACAGTTCTATAGGCATACTCAGACCTAACTACATACGGTATAAAAAATTGCACAATTATATTAACAATCACTGCAAAAAAGTACTTCACCTATCATAGACAGTTTTAAATGATATTTCCTACATCTAGTTGGATTCATGATTAATATTAAGGTTTCGTCATCTGGTTATGTTAGCCACCTTGTGCAGAAGCAGTCTGCTCATACTGCCCCTGTGGCTATTAACTTATATCTCACTGGAGGTGTTGGATTCTTTTACCAGTCGGTCTTCCCTGTTGTGTCCAGTTTCATGCTAGTTGTACGTACATGTATATTGTGTTGTGCAAACATGGGCAGAATTGAATAGTAGACATGATACTGAAATTCTATTGCATGCAGCAACCTGATTGAAAAGAACATGCAGTTAGGGGCGACCCCCCACCCCACATCATACTAGGGATCATAAGGGACGTCCCTCTCCCTATGATAGCCTGTCATCATCCTTAACACCAGGTGCCATCATAGTTGTTATAACACCCTAGCCTGAATAAAAGTACTATTTAGCAGCAAAAGCTATTGCAGCATTACATCAACATAACACTAGAAAATAATGTCCTAAAAAAATTAAGACCTACAAACCAAAAGCTAAACAAAATCTGATTGTGCCTTATGGAGGTTTTCATTTGACTATTTTCAGAGTCAAAATGGAGAGCAAATATAGCCGTGTTTTTTTTAAATCTGGGCTTCTATGGCCCACGCTACTGGATAATTGTTTATCCTTGCTACATCTTATGCCACCTATTTAGTTTTTCTGTATGCATGGATTTCATTTTTGCCTTTGGTAATATAAGGGGCAATATCCTAAAACATTATTTTAAATAAGTGCATGCTCCTTTCCCATAGAATTTAATTATCTTTATATGTTAGATAGATATATTTAAAACAAAAAATATATATACTTTTTAAATATATATGTACTGTAACTGTATAATCTCACTTCTGCCTCAGCTCAGTGGGGTCCTACAGGAGACACTGACCCACCATGTCATGGAACAGGGGACATGAACATAATCAGGCTTTTGCTAACATCCCATCCCATGTGTGTTTAGTGAGTTTTGAGCCAAAGTGCAAATTCTAAGCAGATTCATTTTTTTCACCCTATTGTCATCATAAGGGTACACTGGACAATGAGTTTGTAGTCAAGCGGTGTTGTTTGAAAAAGAAAGACCCCATGTATTTGTAGTTATCCTCTTCACTGATGTTGAGGTGGTGGGGAGGGGGGGCAGAGCAGGGGTGGTGAGGGGGGTGTAGCGCTGTCCCGGTCAAGGGGGTTGAGGGGCAGTTGGGGGTGGGGTCACGGGGCAGGGCTTATCTCGACCCCCTCAGCTCCAGCGGAAGGACACGTGTCGAGGGCGGTCACCCCCCTCCTTCACCAGTGGCTTGTGGAACTCTCGGCCCGCCCGGGAGTGAATACTGGCCCAGCAGTACTCACAGTAGTACTGCAGGCAGGTGACGTTGGCACAGAAGAAGGGGGCAAACTTCCCCCCGCAGCGCGCCCCCTGGCACTCGTCACACATCTGGTCATCCAGGACGTACGGCTTCACCTCCACCTGAAAGGAAGGTCAAAGGTCAGAGAAAGGAGACACTGGCTTATTTTCTTCTTGGCATGAGGTGTAGATTGAACTCAAACTTGACTCTCTATTATCAGAATGTAAACAGAGTCTATATGCTTTATGCTAAATGTTTGACCAATTGCAAGACATTGCTGTTAGCTCCTGAGTTCTGAAATGTATATTTCTATTAATGTATTATTTGTCCATTTAATGCTACTGTTAATGTCACTGTGACATCCTAAAGGCTCAAAATATCAACTTCTCAAATATGTTTCTGTCTCTAGTTGTTCCTCTTTTCCTCTCTATGTGTAAAGCACTGTAAACGCAGATGTGGTGAATATTTTAGAGCCTGTCATGTGTCCAAGTCTTACACAACATTCTTAGGCCACTGTCTGGTGCTCTTTATGCACTGAAACAGGTATACTTCTACGCACACAAGAGAATTGGAGTCCGTTGACCATTGCTGAGGGACAGACTATCCAATCTGCGTCTCCATGGAGATGACACAGTGTGTGAGCAGGCCTTGGTTACATACAGCGATCTCTCCACTACAGCCTGACAGTGTAATGAAGGGTTCTCTTTAAACCCCCAGCCCTGGTAAGACAATGACTAGCAATGGCCAAAGCCAGAAACAGACTGGCAACCAGGCTCATTTTCATTTTTATTTGGCACAAACCAGTAGGAAACGGACTGAAAAAGGGAGGGACTACCTGAGCATGTCCGACAATGCTCGTTTTTGTTTTCCGTTGCAAAATGTTTTGTTACGGTGTGCCCTAATGAATACGACTCTAATAAATACCAGTATCACCTCAGTGAGTACAACAATGAAGCTGTTGTGAGGTACAGTAACTTAACCATTCTGGCCTATCATTAAGACAATTCCAAGAGGCCATTTACAGTTAACGGAATGATTGTGTTGCCAGACGGAACAGAAATAAAACGTGCAAACAAAAGTGTTGTGGTTGGACACCAGTGAACTAGGCCTTAGGCCTCAACCACAAGAATGAACATTAACTAACCCTGAGAGAACGTGGGTGTGGCGCGGTGGTGGTTGACCAAACTTTTGGTGTGTCTGGAGGGAGGGGAAGGGAGGGAGAGGGGCCTTTCTGGGTCGAGCCTCCAACGATGTATCCCCCCAGCCAGGCTTTCCTTGGCCTCAGCCAAATATAGGGATCTGGAGAAGAGATTTCTCTCATACAAAATCTCTATGGCTGATAATGAGAGTTCGCAGTGCAGAGATCTCATCTATAGGCCATTACGTGCCTCGTTAGTGGCAGCTAGGCCTAGTGGTCTAGTGATCTGGGCCCATATTCAAAAAGCCCCTCAGAGTTAGGAGTGCTGATCTAGGATCAGTTTTACCTTTTAAGTAATAATGGCTATGGAGATGGGGGGACCTGATCCTAGATTAGCACTCCTACTGTTGGACTCTGTGAATACGGCCCTGATAGCACTCCTACTGTTGGACTCTGTGAATACGGCCCTGGTCAGACAGGAGAGCCATCCCAGGGCACTAGTCTGAATAAAGACACTGCCTGCTCAATCAGCCACTGGGGTTGAATATTGGATTATGGCAGCCCAGAGGGAGTGTGGACCGAGCAGCCCCCACTGAGACTAGCCTCTCTGGGCTGGCAGACGACCAGTCTCGGTTGGTCACGATAGGCCATGCTCTATAGGGCTAGCTCGCTCGAAATAACCCGTCAACGGCAGAGCTAAAGTGAATATACATGTATAAGGAAGTCCTATAATTAAACCCTCCCCACGTCTGGGACTTCAAATATCTGTCAGCCCTCCAGCAGCCGAAGGCCAGGGTGATTACACAGTCAACTCTATTCCACAGACCTAACCGGGGCTCCCTGTATTGTAGGCTGCGCTGAACAGTCAGTTGGAAACCAGCATATAATGACAGCTCTTATGTATAGAGTCTGAATGAGAATTAAACAGTTCAGATCCACAGCAGCACACCATAGGTAAGGCTACACTAGGGTCGTGTTCATTCGGCACCAAACGGAAGAAAACTGACAAACAGGGAGGGACTACCTGGACTTGTCCAATGAGAAACGCTCCTTTTTGTTTCCTGTTGCAAAACGTTTTCTGCTGTGTGCCCTAATGAACACAACCCAGTCATTCTTCATCTGCTAAAGATCCCTGTTATCCAGCTTTTAGGGAAACTCCTGAAGCACTATTGATACAGACAGACATTATGAATACAGTGATTGGTCTCACTCACCCGTTTGTCAATGTCATTGTGCTGCAATTGAACAAATCGGGCACTGATTGCGGCGATGTAGCTCTGCTGATTGGAGAAGGCCACACGGCCCGCCCCCTTGGGGTACTTGAGCTCCGGGTCAGTGTCAATACCGGCATAGCACACACCCCCATACAGCCTGTCCATGATCATAGCTAGTTCCACTAGAGGACGAGAGGGAGAGAGAGAACGTTATGACTGCATGCCTCTAATTTGTCTAATGAACATTTTGGAAAAAAACTGAATGATGCGACTTGTATAACATTCTTCGCCAATAACATTCTTGAGAGTGTTCATTAGAGTTGTCATCTTTGACTGTTGATATACAGTACCAGTCAAAAGTTTGGACACACCTACTCATTCAAGGGTTTTTCTTTATTTTTTTACTATTTTCTACATTGTAGAATAGTAGTGAAGACATCAAAACTATGAAATAACACATATGGAATCATGTAGTAACCATTTTTTTTTTTTTACAAATATATTTTATATTTGAGATTCTTCAAATAGCCACCCTTTGCCTTACTGACAGCTTTGCACACTCTTGGCATTCTCTCAACCAGCTTCACCTGAAATGCTTTTCCAACAGTCTTGAAGGAGTTCCCACACTTGTTGGCTGCTTTTCCTTCACTCTGCGGTCCGACTCATCCCAAACCATCTCAATTGGGTTGAGGTCAAATAGCCCTTACACAGCCTGGAGGTGTGTTGGGTCATTGTCCTGTTGAAAAACAAATGATGGTCCCACTAAGCCCAAAACAGATGGGATGGCGTATCGCTGCAGAATACTGTGGTAGCCATGCTGGTTAAGTGTGCCTTGAATTCTAAATAAATCACAGACCATGTCACCAGCAAAGCACCCCCACAACATAACACCTCCTCCTCCATGCTTTATGGTGGGAAATACACATGTGGAGATCATCCGTTCACCCACACCGCGTCTCACAAAGACGCGGCAGTTGGAACCAAAGATCTCACATTTGGACTCCAGACCAAAGGACATATTTCCACCGCTCTAATGTCCATTGCTCGTCTTTCTTGGCCCAAGCAAGTCTCTTCTTGTTATTGGTGTCCTTTAGTAGTGGTTTCTTTGCAGCAATTTGCCCATGAAGGCCTTATTCACACAGTCTCCTCTGAACTGTTGATATTGAGATGTGTCTGTTACTTGAACTTTATTTGGGCTGCAATCTGAGGTGCAGTTAACTATAATGAATTGATCCTCTGCAGCAGAGGTAACTCTGGGTCTTCCATTCCTGTGGCGGTCCTCATGAGAGCCAGTTTCATCATAGCGCGTAATGGTTTTTGCGACTGCACTTGAAGAAACTTTCAAAGTTCTTGAAATGTTCTCTATTGACTGACCTTCATGTTCATTAAAGTGACGATGGACTGTCATTTTTCATGTTCATTAAAGTGATGCTGTTCTTGCCATAATATGGACTTGGTCTTTTACCGAATAGGGCTATCTTCTGTATACCCCCACTAACTTGTCACAACACAACTGATTGGCTCAAACACATTAAAAAGGAAAGAAATTCCACAAATTAACTTTTAAGAAGGCACACCTGTTAATTGAAATGCATTCCAGGTGACTACCTCATGAAGCTGGTTGAGAGAATGCCAAGAGTGTGCAAAGCTGTCATCAAGGCAAAAGGTTGCTATTTGAAGGATCTCAAATATAAAATATATTTTGATTTGTTTAACACTTTTTTGGTTACTACATGATTCCATATGTGTTATTTCATAGTTTTGATGTCTTCAATAGTATTCTACAATGTAAAAAATAGTAAAAATAAAGAAAAACCCTTGAATGAATAGGTGTGTCCAAGCTTTTAACTGGTAGTGTAATTAGCATAGGTCACATAGCAGACAGACAAGTCAGTAACATTGGTCCCAAGCACAGAAATACTGAACCACCTAATGGGCCTTGCATGAATACTTTACATGACCACCAGTTACCTAACCGCCTGCAAACAAAGTGGATTGCTTTCTCACAGGCAAAACTTTATTTTTGATTACAGCTTGTAGACTACAGTCTATGCCAGTCAATCTTACACAGCCAATCCACCAACCTATCCACTGATCTACAGCCGTTTTGACCAATCCCATACCTGCACGTAGAGGCCGGGGCACGCCCCCCACAAATATAGTCTTGCGGGGGTCCAGCGGTTGGGAACCATCCATCACAAAGTCACTGTCACTCAGGTTCCAGGGGCGGATTTGGACCTGGAAAAGAGAAATACATAATTAATTAAGTACTGTGTCTGACGAGAAATCCACACTTTCCCTTTTCACATTATTATGCCAACCGGAACCGTATTGCTGTGGTTATTTTCCTTCCCAGCCCAGCTCGAGCAACTATGGTCAATGTGGAACCAGGCTGGCACAGTACAGGTCGGCTTGTCTCGGTTTAGCTCAGCTTAATAGTGTGAAAAAGGTATTACGGTACATTACAATACTGTAGCATTCACTGACTGGTTTGTCCTTGATAGTTGGGCTGGAGACACAAAGGTAAAGCTTCCCGTCCTCCTCGATGCAGGCGTCAATCAGGGCCTGGACAGAGGTCTCCTCTTGGAACAGCAAGAAGGCATAGCCTGGGAGAAGAGAGAGAAGGGTTTTTAGACTAAATAAATAAAAATTCCCATTCACAGTAAGTACACTTTGTACTGTCTAGATAGTTATGAATATATGAGTGACCAGTTCAGTCACCAACTCAAGTTAGCAGTGGCTTTTGAAACAAACCTGAACCATGGAAGACAGTACCTTTCAGTCTAAAAGCTAAAATCAAGTCTGTTCAGTTTCAGTACGAAAAAAATAACCCATGCAAAATGTATCAACCTAATACTCTCCAAATCATTTTGGAAAGTTATGGTGCTGAAAGATTTGCTCCTGTGGGATGATGAGGTCTGGCTTTGCAGCAGAGAGAGATACAGAGAGAAAGAGAGAGGGGGAAGAGAGGGCTTGTCAGTGTGCATCGTTAAATAATCTATTATTTAGAGGGAGGAGAGAGTTGGCCTAGGGTCAAGACCATTCTGTCAGTTAGGGAGAGTTGGGATGTTAGCTAGGGTAATGCCTATTCTGTAATTGAGGGTATGGGAGTTAGCTATCTTCACTCGAGTAGCAGTTGCATAGCTGTGTCCAATGGCCCTAATATCACACTATTCTTCTGGTATTAGCATTTGATATGGAAATAATACAGTATATATTGTGTGAACAAAAGATCATGAGAAAAGACAATGGAACAAGAACATTATGACACATTTATGGTAGGCAAAGTATCACAGGGGTATTCGATTCAGTGGAATAGGGTACACTCGCCAAAAAATACATTTGCAGCAACTAATAGGCTAGCACCCACCAGAGCCATAAATGTAGCATGCATCTCCACCTCTGATGCACATGATTTGGCATATCCTTAACTAGAGGGCCGTGATCATGTGAGCAGAACCGTGGAGCCACCAGGGACGTGATGTGGGAACCTGAGCAGAGCAGGCAGCAGGGTGGAGGGAGGGAGGGAGGGAGGCCGGGCCCACACGCAGACAGGACATACATGTATGGTGCAGAAGGCTGTCAGAGGCGTTGCCTGTCACTGTGTGTGTGTGCTTTCTGGTGTCAGCTGACTGTGAAGGGCTACTGCTTTTAGATGTATATGCGGAACGCAGAACGCCTGGCCGAGGAATGGAGTGGAAATTAGGAACAGAGGAATGTACAACTGTCATGTTTTACTCTCAGACATTCCTCAAAGGGACTGCTGCTGCAGATGAAGAGGGGGAAAGATGTAAGAAAAACACACTGACTCAGTAGATCGTGAAAGTGTGTGTATAACATCTCTGTGTGTGTGTGTCGGTGTGTGCGTGTGTATGTGTGAGAGAGAGTCTGTGCAAATGAAGGTGTGTGTGTGTATCAAAGAACGTATACACGAATGACAGTATACGTGTTCAAGTTCATGCATGCGTGTCACCACGAGGGCTACACCAAGCATTTCCACTCCCCAGTCCTCTAGCCTTTCTCACTGAGCCCCGGCAGTGCCTAGTCATCATCACACACACCTGAGTGGACTGTGTGTGTCTAGGGTCCTTCAGTGAGGTCACAACCAGCACTCTCTGTCCACCACTCCAGCACAACCAGGCTTTCAGTACATCAGAAGACTAAAAATAAGGCAACAGTAAATATGTCGTCCCCACGAGTGATGCAGCGCCCCCCCTTGGGACAATTGAGATATAACGTGTAACTAATACATTTCAGTTATCTTGTGTGACCCATTATATTGACCAGATACTCAAGTGGCCTCTAACAATGAAAATAAATGGAAGGCAGTTAGCCTGGGTACCAGTCTCTTTAGCTAATCCACTTCCTGTACTCCATGTCATGTGCCAAAGACTCTTTGGAAGTGGCAAGGAGTGGAATGTTAGCTAAAGAGACTGATACTCAGACTAATCAAATCAAATCACATTTTATTGGCCACATGCGCCAAATACAACAGGTGCAGACATTACAGTGAAATGCTTACTTACAGCCCTTAACCAACAGTGCATTTATTTTTAACAAAAAAGTAAAAATAAAACAACAACAAAAAAAGTGTTGAAAAAAAAAGAGCAGAAGTAAAATAAAATAACAGTAGGGAGGCTATATATACAGGGGGGTACCGGTGCAGAGTCAATGTGCGGGGGCACCGGCTAGTTGAGGTAGTTGAAATAATATGTACATGTGGGTAGAGTTAAAGTGACTATGCATAAATAATTAACAGAGTAGCAGCAGCGTAAAAGGATGGGGTGGGGGGGCAGTGCAAATAGTCCGGGTAGCCATGATTAGCTGTTCAGGAGTCTTATGGCTTGGGGGTAGAAGCTGTTGAGAAGTCTTTTGGACCTAGACTTGGCACTCCGGTACCGCTTGCCGTGCGGTAGCAGAGAGAACAGTCTATGACTAGGGTGGCTGGAGTCTTTGACAATTTTGAGGGCCTTCCTCTGACACCGCCTGGTATAGAGGTCCTGGATGGCAGGAAGCTTGGCCCCAGTGATGTACTGGGCCGTACGCACTACCCTCTGTAGTGCCTTGCGGTCGGAGGCCAAGCAGTTGCCATACCAGGCGGTGATGCAACCAGTCAGGATGCTCTCGATGGTGCAGCTGTATAATTTTTGAGGATCTGAGGACCCATGCCAAATCTTTTCAGTCTCCTGAGGGGGAATAGGCTTTGTCGTGCCCTCTTCACGACTGTCTTGGTGTGTTTGGACCATGATAGTTTGTTGGTGATGTGGACACCAAGGAACTTGAAGCTCTCAACCTGTTCCACTACAGCCCCGTCGATGAGAAGGCAGTCGGGAGGAGGCAAGATCAGGTGGGACCATTCTAGCCAATGAGAAGGCAGATACGCGTCTGAACAACAGGCACAACTCCGGTATAAAGTGTTTTTTTCTCAAAGTTGCCGGTATGTCACGTCTTACTTATCAGTACACTAGTAACAAACTAAGCACTACGAAACGTCTATTCGATCAAATAGGCCACACGTAGCAAATAAGCCATTACGACACCCTCTGACATCAATACAAAAACTCCTCGCTTGGTGAGCGAAAGAAAAAATGGAAAATGGCACTTGCTGGAGAAGACAGATTTTGGGCCCAGTTATCCCTTTCGCGTCGCCTCTTCCTCTCTAGTGTGACTCACACATTTCTGTTAATTACTATAGCTCCTGCCTTGGGCCAATCAGTGTAATTTTGTAAATGCCGGATCTTTATGGCATCATTCACCCAAGTTTTGTCAAAATCGTGCCAGTGCTGTCTGAGATATTGCGTGTGACTAACGTATGAACGAACGGACAAAGACCGATCCACAGTCCCCGCCCCGATTTCATGACAGGGGACAAAAACACAGGAACTTCAGGCATCACAAGATGTGTCAATACGGTGTGAAAAATAATTTGAAGACAGATAGACATCTAAAGAAAAGGATTGCAAACAAGACACAAGGCCTATGATTCACCATTAAGTGGGCATTTCAAAGCACACACACACACACACACACACACACACCACCAGGTGGAATTGTTCATTTGCAGACTGGCAGTAGTCCAGCCTGGTTGAACACTTAACACTCACTTAGTACATAATCCTGACCAATGAACCACATTTTAATTGCAAAGCAGCACATATCCCAGGCCACAACCATACAACCACTAAATGACTAGTCCATCTGTTTATCTCTGCTATTGGTTAACTAAGACCCGACTCCTTCTAGACCCAACATGGGGAAAACGTAAGACAATCAGGATAATGGAAACAGGCTGGTGTGCCCGATGTGCCTCGTCATAACCTCAGAATAGAAAACACAAATATAGGCTCTATAGAACCCCTTCTGACTGCCATTAAATAAAGAGGGTGCCATCGGGTCGGGAATCATGTGGTTAAGCACTGAGTGAGTGAGTGAGAGAGCGAGAGAGAGAGAGAGAGAGAGAGACTGTGTACTGCAGTCTTCAGAAACGGCTTGAAAAGGCAGCGGCAGCCAGAGGCCACAGTCAGGAAAAGGAACAGTGTGTTCTGTCCCGGAGCAAGAGAGAGAAACAGAGAGAGGGTGAGAAAGAGAGGAGAGAGAAATAATGTCAGAAACACCATGAATGACTTCCAAACAAACAAACAGACAGACAGACGGAGAGAGAGACAGAGACAGAGTGAATGGTGTGTGTATGGAGGAGACAAATAGGGGAAGAGATGGCAGAGTTAGGGGTTACACAGTTGTGGGAAGGGGCTAGCCTAGCCGCTAAATCAAGGAGCCAGTTCTTGGCTTTCACAGTGAGTACACAGTGTTCCCTTTCTTCTTAGAGTCAGAGCACCGTATAGGATTAACTTCTGTCACCTTTCAGCAATTGCAAAACTGTTAGGATCACATTCAACAGGCGGAATAGGCACACCCACACTTAGCTATTAGGATGGGTGCCATCAATTATGTAATCATGGGAATTCCTAAGTACCTCTGTCAGGTTATTGGGCTAGTTGGAGTTCAGTTTGTACGGCCTGCTGTTTTATGTGTCTCCATACGCGGTCTTCCCAGGCCTCGATGGCATTGAGATTTAGAGGTGGGTTTGCGAATGATTCGATTTGATATTTCTTTATTGTCTAATTTTCACAGACACTTGCTTTATGTAAAAGAAAGTGCTATGGAGCAGAGCCCTCGTCTTCCAGGAGTACATAAACTGCATCCACCCTTTTCTAGAAGTGTGCACTCGCACTGTCACACACTACCCATGGTGGATTTAAATACCTAGGATTGGTGTAAACATTAGCTGGAGGGAAGTTCCACCATTGTTAATAAATCCATGAGAGAAAGTATACAAGTGCACAGTTGAGAAGGGGAATCGGGCCAGACAGGCAGGCAGGCAAGCCTTCCGCAGTGCAGGGGCTTAGTAAACCAGAGGAGGAGGAGAGGAGAGCACATATCTGCAGTGGCTCGTGCCTGAGATTTATAAAGCTTTACTGCTGAGCTCCCGACTGCGCCAAGGGTGGAAAGGAAAACATACGGCCAGGCAGAGTTTTGAACTGTAAAGAATTCTGTTTACAGATAAACGACAGGTCTGGTTACCTCATGGTCCTACGGCCAACAAA